ACTGATTGCAATGTTCACGTTTGCACTTTAATATTTTTCATTCATAATTGCACATAAAATGTGAAACCTTACTGCTGAAATTCAGGCCTCCAAAAATTTCAAGTACTCCAAAAAAGTACAAGTAAGGTATTGTTTGCAGTATTCTAAAATTAAAAATCTGCCTCCAGTCCTTCCAGCAAACATCTGTGTCGGAGTGCAGCACAAGAATGAGAAGGTAATGATGGTGACTGGACTGTGGGGCTTGTGATTTTTGACTTGGTTTTGCTGAAGTAACTAATTTTGATGTTTACTTGCTAAAAGTGAGAGATGTGGAAGATACTGGGAACTGAGAACAAAACCACTGCTGGGTCTTGAATATCAAGTGGATATGGAATAAATATTTTGTGACTTGAAAGCGAAGTTAAGTGAAATTAGATCATGTTACTACTGAAATTATCCTAGACCCATGTGGAAGTTATGTCTCTTATTTGGTTGCATAGATGAGCTAAAATGCAGCTGTACCTTGATTGAAGAAGACAAGATTTCTTTAGCTGGGATCACCAGAGCCCTCAAAGCTGTAAATCACTAAAAATGGAAAAAATCTTGCAGGCAATAACATTAATTTGATATTGGAGAATATGCATCATGATATTGGTGAAACACTCTGACAAGTGTTTTCCTGGAAAATTTACTGATATTTTATAAATACCATTCCTATTTCTTCCACGCTTGAATCATGTTGCCTGTTACCTTCAGGATGCAGTAATAACCATGTTCTTGCTTGCTTAAGTTTCTGAGGAAGAGTGCAGATGTGTTATTTGCTTGGAAGTGTTTCCATGTGTTTGCATATAATAGAAAGCATGGTTTCATCTGTACCACCACCTATTGACACCACTCTCAAATCCCTGTAGAAATACAAAGAGCAGATATAAATATTTGCATACTGTACTGGTAGAACCATTGCACATGCTCATTTATTCCTCTATGCATTCCTTATGGAGCTGTTTTTACTGCATTTAAATCCCTAGCTTATTGGTGTGTGCACGATGTGGACAGCTGTGTGTCAGTACCATGAATACCCTTCTGTTGACAAGGGTGTTGATAGTTGAAGGTGAGGAGATACAATTTAGCATGACCAGTGGTTACATTCTTTCAAAAGTAACCTTAACTTGGCAGAACACTGTATTTTTACTCTTCAAGTAAGCTACAATTTCTCCTAGTATACAAATGCCCAAGTAAGCCTGGCCAGAGCTCCTGCAGCTTCTGTGGAGACTGCTGGATAGGTCCCATCCCTGGCCTGCCATGTAGAAGTGTCAGCTGGCTCTTCCTAGTTACCTGTGCACCGAATATCTGCCAGCTGGCTGCAGAATGCCACATCCACTGCCTCCTCCTCGTGAGTCAGTCTGCGCTAGGTCCTGCAATGTTGCCACTGCTCCTCTGCCAAAGCTGTATGTTGCTACCATTCAACAATTTTCAGGAGAAACTTTTTCACAGAAAGGGTTGTTAAGCACTGGAATAGGCTCCCCAGGGAGGTGGCCGAGTTGCCATCCCCGGATGTGTTTAAAAACTGTTTGGATGTGGTGCTCAGGGACATGATTTAGCAGTGGGCTGTTAGAGGTAGGGTGCTATGGTTAGGTTGTGGTTGGACTCGATTATCTTTAAGGCCTTTTCCAGCCTGAGCAATTCTATGATTCTATGAACTGTAGGAGATGAAGAAGATTTTAGGGGGCAACAGCAAAACATGCTGAAGCATTTAAGTTTGCTTGTCTCTGGTAAAAGCAGTATTAGTCAATCAATACATAGGTACTGCAGAACTGCATGGAGGAGGTACTTTTTTATACAGTGTGTTCTTCAACCAAAAAAAGCACCCTGGTCTCCCTAATGGCTATATGAATATCTAGCACAACTGTAGTTTAAACATGCATTAGTTTCTCTGATTTAAAAATGAACAGCTGCTCCAAGCTTATTTACTCTTGATATGATCTTTCTAACTCGACTTATTTAAAACCCACCATTTATATTGCTAAATCATCCTTCACAGTATTGCTTCAATTCCCTTGGCTAGCTAGAATGCTAACTACTGCACTTCAAGCAATTTTCTGAGCAAGTTTCTGTTCCTCTTTGGGGAAGAGGAAAAAATGAATGAAAAACAGTTCTGCTAAACTGCCTCTTCTTAATTCGATAGCATGAAAATTTCACACCTTCATACAGGTTTTGTGGAAGGCAACAGAATTGGAACAATGGTAGGTTACTTCTTCTTTGTGCTTTGGTGCTGCTTTTTGAAGCCAGAAAGCCTCTGACAGTGCCTCCACAAAAACTACTCTGTGGTGCAGATAAAAATCTTCCATTTGCAGCAGAAATCTCAGACTTGTGGCTTGTTTATATAAAGTTATAACAGATATTTCAAATTATTAGATAGCCATTATGCAAATGCTTTTAAAAAGAGGAGTATTTCACCTGAGTGGGTGTGTGTGTGTGTCTGTTAGTCTGTCCTTCAGAATTGATGGTGATTGTATTTTTGTCTCTGTTTTGAGGAATATTTCCTCCAGAAACAAACTGTAGGCATCAACTAATGTTGATCTCTCTCCTGTGAGATAGGACAGAAGATATTACTTGGTTTAGAAGGACTGAGGTGACAAAGGATTCAAATGCTGTTAATCTACTAGCCCTCCTTCTAAAAATGAGACTTGCTTTTAATATAAGAAAACAAAACCATGGGACAAGCTGTCCTCCCAAGAACACTGTGAGAATGCTGCAGAAGATTATATAGTAAACTTGCATATAAGCCATTATAAGTAAATAGTTTGATTGTTAATATCAGTGATATATTAACACAGTATATAAATATTTTAATATATATAAATATTAGACAGTTATGGTGTTAGGCAGGCTGCCCCTGGAATGCTTTTGAACAGCAACACCTTGCTTTCCAATTCCCACACTGCCATTCTGTGGCCTCCAGTGCAGAACTGCAGCCCCTCAACTACCTGGAACTCTGGGGAGAAGAGCACTGATATGCAGTGGCATCACTCCTATCAAGGACAGTAAGGAACCAGCCCCAAATGCACTCAACAGGTACAAGAGGTGCAATTTTAAGAGATAATGTTGAATGCTGTTTTCCTTGGAGACTGGAAGGATCAGAAGGCCAAAGCAATTTGCCTGGGGAAAAGATAACCATTGCATTCACTGCCCCTCAACTCAAAAGAACCCAAACAAACCCAAACAGGGAGTTTCCTCTCATATCGAGGCATCCCATGCATCTGAAAAAAAAAATCCATTTTTTGATGGATGAAAAAAATAAATAACCATTTCTTCAATGTTGACTTAAAAAACTTATGAGGGAGGGTGAGGAGCCCTTGCCGCCTACCAACCTCAATCCACATTACTAATACTTTATAGTTAGTAGGCAAACAGGACAGAAAGGACCCTCCACATCACCAAATGAAGTTTTCTATTTTCATAGTTAGCTAACATAGAACCTCCTGCAGAAATGTGAGGGACCCTCTGATTTACAGCCTGAGTGTCTTACTAAGTAGCAAAGTCTCGGTGCAGTTGTTCAGTTTTAATTTTCATTTTTGGCTGGTGTTTGCACAAATCAAGCTGTGCTCATCACTAGGGCTGTTTTTCAGGCTGGGAAAATGGAGGACAGGTACCAATTGATCTCACAGTGAACACAAGGGCAACTTTTGCACTTGTAACATGCTTCACAGGCACTAAGGCTGCAACTACCACTGCACACAAAATCTATGTCTAGCACCAAGCCAATAAAACTGTAGAGTGTGTTGTAGTTGTGCGTCCTACCACCATTTACTGCCTGCAGCTAAGAGGCTTTGCCCACTGAGGGGGGCCTCTGAATTACATTTTCCTCTTGAAAGCCATATAACAATAGGATCTAAGAAGTTCTTACTGTTCAAAACTCCTGAACAAACCTGCAGGATCGTCAGTGCAGATGTCTTCACATAACTTGAAGCTCTGAGAAAATAAAATAAGTCTTTCTCTTTCCCTTTTTTAGCTGAGGCTGTGGGAGTTATCACTGCCATTTTTACGTGAAAAAGTGAGCACTCTTGAGAGCAGGGGTTTTGGTTACTTTCGTTCTGTTTTCCCTGTCAGCCTGACTTCATAGCAGTGATTCCCTCAGGGATGCTGCTCCCTGCTTTGCTAGGAAAGCACTGGTACTGCACCTTGCCAAATCCTTAAGATCTATGTGATTCAGAGCATCACGGATTCCAAGAAGGCTATTTTAATGGTGCTTCCTGCCAGCACAAATTGCACTTGATTCAAAGGGTCAACAGCTTTTTTTTTCCCCATCACCATTATGTTAAAATTGCACTTCTGGCAAGATTTTTCTCCACAAAATTTACAGATGTATCCCCAAGTTTAATATCGTGTGATCTCTTCCATCTTCAGACTCTTACAAGAGCTGTGTAGAAAAAGCTTGAAAACACGTATTTGTTTTCACGGATCACTGAGCAGTAGTTATTATTCTTGCCCCAACAGTTAGCTGCTGACTGCAAAGTAGATTTTTTTGTCAGCACACATGGATGGGCTTTGTTTTGTTTCACACGAACAAATGGTTATAATTGCACAGACTGACTAAAGAATAAACCAATGAACTGGGCTCATTCTAGTTTAGACATGTTTTATAAAGAATGAAAAAATAGATAAAGATAAAATAATGAATAAAACTAATTAAAATATTGCAAATGTTTTTTTTTTTTTTTAATTTGGGGAATATACAAATATAAAAATAATTTAGAAGGAAATGCATTCATTCCTTATTCAGAGATACTCTACAGTTAGATTTTAGCCATCCTTAATTACAAATAAGACTTGCAACACCTAGATGGCAGATGGAGAAAGAAATCATTTCTTCTGCAGCTATGTATGCTTTATCTATTCCACTTGAACAATCCATCAAGAATTTTTAGTATTGCTTTCTCGAGTCTTTCACAGTGCACCAAGGAAAAAAATCAGTATTCTCCCCATCGTTCCCACAAGAGTAAAACCTGTAAGAACTGACAGCCACTGCAGACATTGTTTAATACTTTAAAATTATAATACAATCACAGACTCATTAAGGGTGGGGAAAAAACAAACAAACAAACAAAAATCCCCACTTTTTTAAAGTCAACAAGCTTTTCCCACTTTAGCAGAAGTGTTTGAAGTTATACAGGGTGGTGACGCACTGGAACAGGTTGCCCAAGGAGGCTGTGGATGCCCCATCCCTAGAGGCAGTCAAGGCCAGGCTGGATGTGGCTCTGGACAACCTGGTCTAGTGGTTGATGACCCTGCGTGTAGCAGGGGGGTGGAAACTTGATGATCATTAAGGCCCCTTTCAACTCTGGCCATTCTACAGTTCTATGATTCAATTACTACTGGAATATTCACTAACTGAATTTTTGTAGAAGAAGTTATGAAATCTGAAAACTTGCAACAGATTTGCTTCTGAATTTTTCCCTCTCTCTGGTCTATCTCAGCCTGGGCTTTCATATAGATGGGAACTTTGTTCAATAACTGATTTTTCCTAAGTCATGGGATCTTTGAGGCATTTGATGTCAGAGAGAGAAAAGCAGACAAACACAACTCCAGTCTGTCTCTCTTCTCCAGAATCATACTAGTAAGCTGAAGAGTGGAGATCCTAGGCTTCATTTTCTAATTTATGTGTTTCTATTAAACTTTTGGTCTTTGGGCTCAGTTCCATCTTTTCCAAGTCATTCTCCTTCTCAGAATCCCTACAACTGAAAATGAAACATTTAAGTATATTAAATCAGCCCAGTATAGGCTCCTACATGGTTAAAGAGGTACCTTCAGCTATGCCTTTTAGAGAATACAATACTTTAGAAAAGACACTTGATCTGCAAACTATTAGCTAGTAAAACTGACAGCTGCGAATAAAGCCTTTAGGCAGGCTGTTGTGCTGGGTCTGTTTAGTATCTCCCCAGTAACACCAATGACCAAAATTCAAAGACTTAATGCACTAACCCTGCATTATGCTGTGCACTATTTGAGGATTAACAGCCTGATGTGTTAGAGACTAACATTTCCTTGGAACTTTAGTTAGTATTGTGCAGAAAAATCCTTGTACATTATGACAGGCTGTCATGCTGTGCAGTTATTGTAAGCCCTGCGTGCTACTTTACAAATATCACAGTGACGTGAGTGGTTACTCAGACTGCTGTACAAAAAACACAACGGCTTTAGGAAAGTTGCTGCTTTGCTTATCGTTACAGATTAACAGGATTCTAACTTGAACCTGTAATTGTTTATTTAGGTAATACTCTACTTCTCCCTGGTGCTTACGGTTACTCAATGAGGGAATTTTACTGATTCACAGAAAATGTTAGGGTGTAAGTATCACACTACTTTTGGCCTTATTTATAAGTGTTTTTTTTTTTAGAAGCAGGAAGATACATTCCTTTAGCCAGCAGACACAGTTGATACTAATAAGAAATAGTCTGGATTTCTTCTCAGGGAAAATGTGACTGTACTGAGGTGCTTAGAAACTGTTCTGCAATTCACATGGAAAAAACCTGCCTGGGGTAGGAAATCAAAAGACAAGTCAAAGCCATACAAACATACGTGACTTAGTATCTATACATGACTACATTGGTGGCAAGTGCTTTGAGACAAGCATTCATTATATTCAAAGTGCCTACCACAGTAGCTTTCAGCATCTGCTTCACTGAGGACCACTTGCTACTAATAAAGAGGTGATGACAAAGGCAAATAAGAAAAAACTTCCTACTGACAACTGGCTTGAAATCACCACCATACAGCAGACTGTACCTTTCAGGAATCCACAAGTTGAAAAAGTCTCTGATTTACCACAAAGGCATTCCGTGTTCATAAAATGCTCTTAAAGGCAGAAAGAGTAACTCCTACTGTGTTCTGCTACTCTGCCATTGATGGCAGGGTGGTCACTGCAGAAAGGCACACTCAAGAACAGAGAGTTTAGCTGCTCCATTTGCTGGAAGAGAAAGTGTCTATATTACCTATGCTGTTAGACCCTGTTACCTATGTAGTATATGTTTGGTATCAGAGCATGACTTGGGTGTTTGGTGTAGTGCTCTCCCACCTCTATCTCCTCAACCAAGGACAGGAGCTAAACAGCAGAAGGTATGCCTCTTCTCTCTCTTCTGTACTGGTTTCAACAGAAGAGACTTGACATGAAGTCTCTGATAAGTTTACATCAGTCTTTCACATGCTGTTTCTACTTCTTTCAAATAGCCCTCATTACTCCAAAAAAAAAAAAATATATATATATATATATATATATATATACACACACACATATATTAAAAAAACAATCTATTATAAAGAATTAAGCTTTTTACTGGTTTATTTAACATGATCTTTTCTCACTTTACACAAATACAGCATTTACCAACAGAACCACTACTTTGCCAACCGTTAATGAGGTACTGTGTTACAAGGGCTGAACTGAAATCTACTTTTGGAAGAAAAATTAAGTTCCATCTTGGTCCCCTGGTGCAATATTGGATGGGGCCAGAATTTTGCTAACAGCAGCCAGAAAAATAGTTTGCTTTGAGGGAATTTTGCCATAGAAGTAGATACACTGCAAAATTTCAAAGGCCTAGCATGGGTCTTTGCAAAAAGACTGTTTTTTGAGTCAATGATTTTTAGTCAATTTTGAGCCAATGATTTTAGTCAATGATGATCTAATGACTTGCTGTAAGCAGCCACAGCTCTCAGATGTCTCACATGGTACCTGGTATGACTAATTACATGGAGACTGCTATCAGGAATGACTACCACAGGCCTGTAGGCAGGGCCAGTTGCGTCTCTTCATGGAGTGAAGCTTACTGCAGGAGCCCAGTGCTGAACTCTACTTTCAAATACATATTCGGAGTGGAGGTGTGAAGAAAAAAATGAAACTGATTTTCAGTGGTCCCTCACAGTTAGGAAAACTACTGCTGTTTTATTTTAGCTCTCTTTCTATAATCAAGATTACAAGAAAAGAGTAAAAGAAAAAAAAAAATCTCATTCATAGGCTTTGCCTTTTTTTCCTAGTCCAATTGCCTGGCAGGTGCCAGAGATTCACTAGGGAAAACACAGACTTTATTTCCTTTACCTGAAATTCAAGCTAACCTGTGGGTAGTTCAAACCACATTGTTATAATATGGCCAACATTTGGCAAAAGAACAGTTAGCACTTGCATGGTGTGGTCAACGATTGCAGTCTGAGCCCTAATATTAATCAGTGACACGCTGTTCTGTGGAACAATACTATTCATGTAAGCCAGGGACTGCTGGCCCTTTGATTGAGTGATCTTTTAGCAGAATATCTAAGAGGACAAATCTGAGTAAAGAAACATCCTGGTTCCACCATTTACTTGCTTACCTGTAAAATCTGCTCACCAGAACCTCACTGGTGAATCCCATTCCTCCCCAAAACTGGAGGCAGCTGTCAGTGACTTCACGGGCCAGGCGACCTGCCTTTAGCTTAGCCATGGAAGCAAATTTGGTCACATCATTGCCTTCCACGTAGAGAGCTAAAAAGGAAAAAAGATTACATACACACGGTCACTGACCACAGTCTGGCAACCATCTGCCCATATTCCTTCAGCCTGACACTGTTTTGGCATTGCAAAAAGCACATCTGAGAAGGCAGACATGGGAACTCACCAATGGTACGGTACAGCAGCGAGCGAAGCAGCTCCACTTCGGTTGCCAGCTCTGCCAGGCGGAAGTGTACAGCCTGGTTCTGCAGCACGGACTGACCAAACACTTTCCGCTGGCGAGTGTAGTCAATGGTTTCTTGTATTATAGTTTCCAGTGGTGTCAAGACTTTAAGAATCAAAACACAGAAAAAGACATTGTTTTCTTCAGATCACAAAGTGGTTTGGGTTGGAAGGGACGTTTAAGATCATCTAATTCCAACCCCCTGCTATAGGCAGGGACACCTCCCTCTAGACCAGGTTGCTCAAAGCCCCATCCAGCCTGACCTTGAATGCTTCCAGGGAGGGGACATCCACAACCTTACTGGGCAACCTGTTCCAGTGTCTCACCACCCTCGCAGTAAATAATTCCTTCCTAGTATCTAGTCTAAATCTCTTCCAGTTTAAAGCCATTTCCCCTTGTTCTGTTGTTACATGCCCTTATAAAAAGTCTCTCCCCAGCTTTCCTGTAGGCCTCCTTCAGGTACTGGAAAGCAGCTATAAGTTCCCCTGGAGCCTTCTCTCCTCCAGGCTGAAAAGCCCCAGCTCTCCCAGTCTGTCCCTACAGGGGAGGTGCTCCAGCTTTCTGTTCATCTTTATGGTCCTCCACTGGACCTGCTCCAACAACTCCACGTCCTTCTTGTGTTGGGAGCCCCAGGACTGGATGCAGTACTCCAGGTGGAGGTCTCACAAGAGCAAAGTAGTGCAGCAGAATCACCTCCCTGGACCTGCTGGTCATGCTTCTCTTAATGCAACCCATTTTCATTTTCTTCTTGTTGAAAATGACATTAGTTTTCTTTCAATACAAACATTTTTCAAAATGTTATTTTTTCTAAAGTAAACCACTCCATATGCTCAGTCTGGGGTGTAGTTTCAATTCTTAAAACTGGCATTCCCTTGTACCTTGATGACAGATTTCTTATCCTCGTTATACCTGAGCCCCAAACTCAGACGAAAGTGAAAGGAGGTGTGAGGAGTGCAGTAAAGTCAGAGAGAGCACAGTGTGACGTATGCAATCCTTATCCTTCCTACGTCATTTGGAGCTTTTATCACAACCTTGTGACAACTCCTGCTTTCCATGCTACCTGTGTCCTGAAGAGCAGATACAATCCCAAAAGAAAATCTGAAGGCAGACAGTGTGCACACTGAGCAATGGTAGAAATGGAAATTCAAGAAAGCTTTCAGGGAGTAGGCAGAAACGTATTCAGAGATCACGGAACATGAACAGAATACGATTGCATTCTGTGATCTAATCTCAACAAAGAACGAGGGGGAAAAGTATGAATCTTCATAGCAACTTTGAGTGAATCCTGAGCTGTGCTTCTAATGAAAACAGAATCAAGAGAGTACACTGCCTGAAGACAGGTCAGAAATGGGAGAAACTACTCTGAAGTAAGAGAATTAGTTTGCTGCAATTTTTTTTAGTCACCTTAGTGCAACCCTGTTTTAAACAAGGAAAGAGAGACATTTTACAAGGCAAACCAGCAGTCAGTGAAGGGATAGGCTCAGTCTCTTGCAGCTTAGATAACAACAGCTGCTGAATTTGTGGGGAATTTGGTTTGGAAAATGTGGGCCCATGTAATTGTGACTAACAGTAGGGAGGGTAAGAGTGGAATGAGCTCACAAATACATTGTTATGAGAAGTGTTGCATTGTCTCTTTTGAAAATAATCAATCTATATTCACCCTCATTTAGAACCTGAGACACAAAAATCTGAATACAAAATGCAATATAAAATTTAACCAAGCCTTGTAGTACTATAAAATCCCTTTCCCCACCTGCCATGGCTCTACACACAACTTCCTCACAGGAGCATGGCGTGCTTCAGTACTCCATTTTGCATGAATTTCAAAAACACTTCTACCTAAAACTTCATCCCTATACTGCTCTCACACATTATCCCTACACTGTTCTTATATGCAGCCTTGGGCTCCCACCATCAGCCCCTCACTGCCATCATTCATCAGCTCCTCCACAGAGCATTGCTTTTTGCATCCTGTCCCCACCACGTTGCATAAGGTGATTAGCTTTTCTTATTCCTTTAATATTTTCCCCTCCTTAAAAAAAGCTAGCCTGAATACTTATTTTGCCAAAACATACTTTTAAAAATATCTTGATTTCTTCTGTGCTAATTCTACGCTGCTGCTCTAACATTTGTTTTCTGGACAGGAACGGATTGCTCTTTTCAGGTATGTTTCTTGTATGGAAGGAACAGCCCTGTTTTCTTAAAGGATGATAAAACAATACTGTAAAATGTAAGACACTAATAGCTTTTTCGCTTGCTGTGATCTCCAGCTGCAGAGATGCTACAGAAAGAGCAAGAAGTGTCTTAGCACCTCTTGTTCCTTACCCCAAGCTGGGCAGCATACAGCTGAGCCTGAGCTGCTGGGAGGTAAACCAAACTGCAAACAAATTAAAGAGAGGAGATTTCCTCAGGACAGGTATTTAGAGCTATCAACATAGCTCTAAAATGGCAAAGATCGACTGTGAAGCAAACACTAAAGCAACCTGTAGTGAATAATCAGGACTGACAGCAACTCTGCACAATGTAACAGCTCACAATACTTTACCAGTAAGTACAAAGAAATGCCACTGTCAACAGTGGAACCTGTTTTCTCTCTGAACTTTCATCTGTTTGCATGCATTTGTTTTCTCTTTTGTCATACAGTATTCTTCACATCCTTGGGCAAACTTGGTCCCAAGGGTTTGTGCTGACAGCACATGCAAGGAACATCACCCCGGGACAGCACAGGGACTGTGTGGTCTAGCAGGCAGTGGAGCATTGTGAAAGCACTCACAGTTGTTCTGCAGCTGCTAATCTTTTCCTCCTACTTCCATTCAATTTCTGTTACCCTACTTGAAACTTTCCGTCATTAGAAACACACTTCGATTTGTTATGTCTCCACCCAATGCAGAACAAAATGAATACATTTTTCTCAGGCAACTGCTGATCTCTCTCTGGTGTAGAGCAAGCTCCAAGCTGAACATCTGTCTCTTACGGACGCTGGTTGCCCATGCAAAAGGATCTGTCATGCTGCTTACTGGCCGTGACTCAATGGTGCTCATAAAACTGAGGCTATAGGAGCAGAGAGAATTCATTAGAGAAGTGCCATTCTGCTCTCTCATACACTCACTGAACTCCCTCTTTTCCTCCAAGTTAAGCAATTCGCAATAAAACTGTTTGCTTTTTCACCATAGTGACATTCCCTTCCTGTGGTCGGTGTGACAGGTCCTCAAAGTGACGGTGTTTGCTGAGTGTCACAACATGGGGCAGATACGTGGCAGCTCATCCTCCTCAATGAAGCAGGAAACACTGTGACTTTTACCAACGCCTCTGACAATGTGCCACTTGGAAGAAAAGATCGCACTTGTGACCCAGTTTTGCAAAGTAACATTCTTGAAAAACTTGATAAAAACAGAAAGCCTTACAGGTAATTCATTTTCCGTTTATGTTTTAAATTTGTTTCCCTGAAAATTTATTTTAAAAGGTTAAAAAAAAAAGAGAAGGAAAGAAACACCCCACACACATTCTAATATTTGGCCATGAGGAAGATAACTAATAAGATTGAAGCACATTATATTTCATGCTATATTTTATACTAAAATATTTTATAAAAAGAAAAACAACTCTCCAAAGTGACAACAACAAAGAAAGATAAAAAAGAATTGCAGCAAACTGCCTCTGCCAAATTTTAGGGAGCAGTCAAAGCAAGCATGCCAGGATCAGTCCCTCAAGTGCATAAATGCAACCAATGCTTTTTATTGTCATATTAATAGCCATGAATAGAGAATGAGAAGAAACGTCCATCTGAGGGCCAGAAAAGAATGAACATGTGCCGACCTAAATACAAAATTACTGAAGGCATGCACATAGTCTGGAAATATCGGAGCCTTCAGCAAAATGCTTGTGGTTGTAAAACTATCTGCAGGACTGAAAGCTTGCAATGCCTGTAAAGTTGTGGTGTAACAAACCACATTCATCAGGCAACTGGCTCTGATGAACACTTTTTCTCTCATTTACCACAACTGATTATCTCTGAAATTTGCAATTTGACACAAGAGGTGGGCTTTGTCCTCACTCCCAGAGCTCTTCACCCATTTTACATCAGATTGTCTGTGGATAAATGCAAAATCAACTTGGGGCACAGTAAGTCCTGGTTCCCTCCTAGCAAAGACACTGTGGGATAGAGCTCCATCTCTCTTGGTCGCAGCAGGGACCAAAGATTCCCTTCCCATATTGTTCATCATCATTCTGGAAAAAAGGAGAATTGAGACCTGCTGTCCCACTTCCTGAAAGACTGTGCTGGTTGCCAGGCTGTTGTGCAAAGCTGGACAGTACCAAGCTGCTGGTGGTTTCAGACATGAGTGATCTCACCTGCTGGACTTTCTGTTTTGATGCTGTCACTACTCGTCACTGCCTGGAACATGACTAATGCTGCTGGCCGCTCTGCTGCCTGGGGAATGTCTCTGCAGCCTAGAGCTTCTCATTGTTTTAGCTTAACCTCCAAACTGAGCATAAAAGTGCATAATTAAGTCCATACAGTCCACATATATCTTGGCTACATTTCAGAAGGCAATCTTTCAGGCAGTGTTCTTTTTGCTTGGAGGAGAACTCTTTCTTATTCCTTTGGTGAGGCAGTGCTTACGCTGACCAGTCATGCAAATGGGGAGTGGTCAAATGCAGTTACCAAAGATAAGAAGAGCACAAGATGCAGAACTGTATAAATCAAAACAAATCTTGACAAGATTTCAGTGTGCAAAACTGTTCTAAGTTCTCCTAAGGTAGCGCAGTAACTGCTGTTTAATAGCACTGTCATTAAATAGTGAAAGATTTCTTTTTAGGATGACGCTTATAGACAAATGAGACAGAAAATACATCTGCAGAAAAACTGCCTCCTGCCATAGGGCTTGATTTTGCCTGATCTTCTGATTCTTTCAGATTCATTCCAAACTTTGTAGAACACATGTCTGTGATAAGCAAAGAAACATGAAGTCAGATAATTGAGATACTTTGATGGCGGCCACCAGAAATGAAGAATAGCCACCTATGAGGCATAAGCACAGCTCTAAACCAAGGCTATTACGGTACCATCTGCTTACAAGGATAAAAAACTGACTTAAGCTGCTCTCTGTACCAGATCTGTCACATGTCTGCCTCAGCAGGAATACTCTTTTACTAGGGACTATCAAAACTTGCCTGTTCAAGGCCCTGAAGAAACTCATGTGGCTTTGAAGTGCCTTGTCAATGAGAGGACCTCCAGAATCACAGAATTGTAGGGGTTGGAAGGGACCTCCAAAGATCATCGAGTCCAACCCCCCAGAAGCCCCTTCCAGCTGGAATCCTGTAGATCTCCACGATCACTATCTGAGCACACACCTGGACATACAGCATCCAAGCTAGAACCACAGCTGTTCTGAGCAAGTGGCCTTGGCACAGGCGCCAGGCGTTCAGCACAGTGGTGCAGACCTGAGATGGCCCGGCCTGCAGAGGCCATTACAGCGGTACCAGAGAGCTGATCTGATTGCCTGCAGTGGCTGTTCGCAGGCGATGCCTAAAGATCTGGAATCAGCCCAAATTAAACACGGGAAGGAAAAACGACAATAACAACAGAAAAACAACATCGAGAAGTGGTGAAACAGGGAATATTCACCTTTTACAACCAAGTAGAAGAAGAGAGCCTGACTGCTTTCAAAACACCATGGAGCCCTCGGTTATAGCACAGTCCTTGTTACAGCAAACCCCTATTTATGTTTTTAATAATACGCATAAAGAGTTCCTATTGCATGGATTGGAACACAGCTTCACTCCCATCCCATAAATGTCCTGAACAGTGTACAAAAGCAGGGCCACTACAGGACTCCTTGCTAGCGTCTGCAGCATCATCACGTCCAGGTCTGACCTCCCACTCTTTGCTAGAACTACCCTCATATTTACTATCTGTCTCAGGCTGAACTAAGAGGTTTTGCCCAAACCAAAGATGTTTTAAGCATCTGAGCTCCAAATTATTTGGTCTGGGATCAGTCCACAACAGGGAGTCATTTTTTTTTAATCTGGTCACTGAATCAAAATATCACTTTGTACAGTTGCCAATTCCTCAGCCACACACAGGCACTAACAGGGTACAGAGGTTACTTACATAACCTTCTTACATCTTCAATCTTTTTAAAATGAAACAGTATTTATGTTAAGTTAAATGTGCAGATGCATGGGACAAGGGGGAAAGTTTGGATACGGTTATCTAAAATATCCAAAATCTTTGAATCTCAAACATATGGATTTGGGTATGGCCAATAACATACCAATAATTAGAATAACAGAAATTCTATGATAGCAGAACTTTGGGGAAAAGCATTTGGTTTTACACTGTTACATTCAGTGTATATTGAGGTAAAACATGCATAAACAAAGTTGTAATACTGTCTTTACACAGCACTACATTCATTTTCTACAATCTAGGGTAAAGGTAAACATCCTAGTTTACTGTACTAGAGGAAAAGTCACAATCTTATTTCATGTTTGTATTTTGATAGCCTTTGCACTATATTTATAGCTGACATAACATGATGCTGTTTTTTCTTATCAGCAGAATGCACTGAGAAAAGGAAGAAAATCTCTGCTAGCCTCTGCCTCAGAAAATATTTTCTTTGTGTTTCAAGTTTTCCTGTAGAAAGGGAAGATTGTCTGTAGCCACGCTGTGACATTTCAGAAACAGAGGTCATAATTTAGAATAAAGGAAAGTGCTATTAGTCATGCAGTAAGGTGACCCACGTGTCCCTGCCAGACCCCTGCAGCACAACCGATGACTTACCAGTGGCCACTCCCCACAGCCGCTCTTCTTGGAATTGCAACATCTGGTATGTAAAACCCATTCCTTCCTCACCAATTAGGTTTTTGCTAGGGACTCTTACGTCTTCAAAAAAGATCTGAGCTGTGTCCGATGACCTCATGCCCAGTTTGTCTATTTTCTTAGTAATGTGAATGCCTGAAGAAAAAAAAAAATAAAAGAGTATTAGAAAGGCTACAAGAAAGATAAAGCCAGATGTACAAAAATAGTGTTTTTAAAAAGTGAAGTTCAGCAAGGATATAGCAAAACCTATCTCTGGGAAAACATTACAGTATTCTGGGAGGCAAAAATAAAATAGATCACATCCCATTTCTAAGAGTTTTCTCGATTTTATTTGACTAGAAAATCAGAAATCGCAACCTTAAGGATCTTTTAATTATATCCCCAAATAATAATCATTTACCAGTAGTAATAATCTCACTTCAGGCACATCTTCAAATCGTGCATGAAGTGCTTTATTTATCTGTTATGTTTGACTTTTTGTGCACTGCAATAAAGTGTTCAAATTCAGTGTAGTAGTATTTTCTGAGTCCCTGTACTACAGTGAAACAGCAAAAAAAAAAAAATTTAATAATGACAGCAGAATTGTGTTGAACTGTTACTAGAGAATTTCTATACTCTTCTTTCTCTTTCCACCACATTTATCCTTCACTTTCAAGCCTATTTTGACCTTCCCTTGTACCTACAGAAGAGTTTATAATCACATGATCTCACTTGTACCTAGTAATAAAAAGGTTAGACTCCAATTTATAAACACAAACATCTAACAGTTCTGTATCAACTACAAGTTTTGTTAAGGCTATATATTTTATGAAGGCCTGTAATTACTATCTAGTCCATTTAAATAGTCAAAGAAGGTTTACAAAGATCGTGATCCACTTGTTTGAGTTTCCACATGGACATCCTTTGTGAAGAGGGCTTGCTTCTCCAATGACCTCCCTGCACGGCACAGACTCTGACCCAATGTACAGCTGCCTACTGAAGATGAACGTGACTCCTGTAGGAAAATTTGTTGTTATCTCCATTCAGATCTCAAAATTGCTTCAGGTTTGGCCACATAAGACTTCAGCTATGTACTCCCACCAAGAGGTACTCCTCCCTGGTTGTCTTTTTTCCCCATCAAGATTTTTCTTTCCCCCACAGGTTCTTCCTTGCTTTTGCTCAGATGCAAGCATGGCTTACCACTGTACCATGACAGTTAGACAGTCATCCACGGATTTTTATGTTATAGCCCTTGAAATCTTCCACCTTTACCTCCTTGTGTTCCTGGAGTTAACATGCAAAAATTCTGCATAGAGATCAACAATGCTTCATGGTAAACTGAAGCCAACAATCAGATATAAGGATTTCTGCAGGGAGCGTCAACTACATTTGCCAGGTCAATATATGTAGAAAAAAACATTCTTTCAACATATGTGCCTTCTGCAAGAAAGCAAACATTTAACTATCCACAGACATGGTATTCTAACCAGTTTTGTAGTGAGGTGAAATTCTGGTCTTTTATTTTTTTTTTTCCTATTATTTTTTATAATCCTCTCCTGGTCTCTGAAGTGGCTTAGTAGGAATTATTCACCACACAAATTGCTGTGGTCTCCTTCTGTACATATTCGTACCCTGTTACCTTTCATGACTTCAGTGTTCACTTAGCTCGGAAAGCAAATGGTATCCTAGGCTCCATCAGAAGAGGGGTGGCCATCAGGGACAGGGAGGTGATTGTCCCTCTCTACTCTGTCCTCGTGAGACCCATCTGGGTGCCCAGGTCTGGGGCCCCCAATACAAGAATGACAGGGAGCTGTTGGAGAGGGTCCAGAGAAGGGTTGCAAAGATGATCAGAGGGCTGGAGCACCTCCCCTACAAAGACAGGCTGAGAGAGCTGGGCTTGTTCAGCCCGGAGAAAAGGAGGCTGCAGGGCAAGCTCACTGCAGCATTTCAGTACCTAAAGGGAGCCTATAAACAGAAGGTGAATCAATTCTTTGAAAGGGCAGATAACAGCAGGACAAGGGGAAATGGTTTTAAGTTGAGGGAGGGAAGACTTAGGTTGGATATCAGGGGAAAGGTCTTTACTATGAGAGTAGAGAGGTACTGGAACAGGCTGCCCAGACAGGTCATGGATGCCCTGTCCCTTCAAGTGTTCAAGGACAGGTTGGATGGAGCCCTGGGCAGCCTGGTCTAGAATTAAACGCAGAGGTTGGCAGCCATGGAGCCACAGGGGGTTTGGAGCTTGATGATCCTTGAGTCCCTTCCAACCCAAGCCATTCTATGATTCTATGACTTCTACTGAGCATCTCTTTCTGAAATAGAACAGATCTCTCAGCTCCTACTGACAGGAGACCTTTAGTCTTCCAGGCAGAAGAAATTGGCAGTCATTTATTTCAAATTCATTCTCTCCAGGAGCACTGAATAAGATTATGGGATGTTTAATCTCTCAGCAAAGCAGAGATGAGATACTGACACTATTTCAAAGTGCCAAGCCTGCTCTCAGAAGAATGTCCAGATATACTTCACACCTTCTGCCCAAGGTGACTCCATTGGCCAATCTAAAAACAGATTATGTGTCAGGAATATTTGCTTTGATAGGTGTTCAATGGAGGAAGAAAATCAGGGCAGCTCTATAAAACTCCTTGACTCTCACACTGAAAACTACCCAGCAATTTGCATCTACTTATGCCAGAAAAGCATCTGTTTTCAAAGCAGCTTTGTTCCTGTATTAAAATCAGAGCTACACAAACACACTCTGAAACCATCTACAGGCCAAAATGATTTCTGGAACATCTTTTCCTGCTGGAACATTACTGCTTGCTTTCTTTGAGAGTCTCAGATGTTTTGGTCCACTTCCAGCCATATGCTCCCTCTCCTATGAAGATGCACTTAGTGCTCTTGTTCCTGGAATGTTTATTAAAGACTCTGCTGGAAAAAATGCAACTGCTGGCAGTTCTCTGTATTGCTAAATGAATCCAACTCAGTGCTGCCTAATGCCCACATAAGGTAACAGCTATTGAAGGAAACTCAGGTTTGGTTAGAGGAGTTAGATGTATTAACAACTTCCACTCACACTTCTTACCAATTGGATTGTGTGTTCATCCTTCCTGAATCCAGCAGCATTTCTTGTTTGTTGTGCCTTCCCAGTTTCACTTGCTCTTAGATTATTTCATGAATCTCCTTCAGATGGAAGCCAAGCTTCATCAAACCCATGTAGCACCCTCTCTGTTGCTAGCATATGCTTTACATTTTCTCCTCAAAGACACCAACATATAATCATCTCTCTACCTATGAAATGGACACTTTGTTCCTTTATTTAATTATTTTCATTCTCTTCAAAAGTACTATATAATAAAAATTACCAGCAGCAGCAATCATCTGCCCAAATAATCCCCAGAACATGTCTGTATTAAATAAATCACAGGCTATCTGAAAACACACATTTCAAGGCCAAGTGCTTGCCTTCCCAAAAATCACTCTAACAAACCTATTTGTGCTTCCTGTACCAGTATGACTGAGATGGATTGCTCTCTCTCTTCCTGGGACAGTTCTTTCTAAGTGTCTTTGATTTTTCATATTCTCTCACTTCTCCAGCCTTCTGACAATCTTTTTTTTAAATTTCTTTTAGTCTATCTTAACAGAAAGTAGTCATTCTCTCCTGCCAACATTTAGTGCTGTTACAAATAGAAAGAGACATTTTAAATTGCAACTTGGGAAACATGCTCTTTCCCCCTTTCCTGGATGTTCTCTTCTTTATTATCCTCTGTGCAATCTACTAAGTGCTATCTGATGACCCACAGGAGAAACCAGTGCACAACTACATCCCAGATGAGGGCTGCTAGCCATTTGTCTATATACCTAACATGGACAATTTATACTTTGGTAGAGTCTCTTTTCCATCACATGAAAAAGAGTTCATACTTGCTAGTATGAGGAGTATTTACCTGCCTAATGTAAGTACCTACTGTGAATCCACACCAGTTACCCAAATTCCCTTTATGAGAGGTTTTCAGCAATGTTTGTCAAATTTAGGCCATGATTTTCTTCAATGCACAACAGACACTGCACAAACCTACAACTAGAAGTTAATCCCATTTTGTATCTCCCGTAACTTCCAGTCGTTGAAGCTAATGATTCATTTCAGATTTTTTTTTTTCCTTACATCACAGTATGTATGAAACAACTATGTTTTTTATGAAAAACACGGGACTCCCATCTCCTACCAACAGCAAGCACGGAACAAGTTACTTCTGTGCCTTGAACCTTGTCTTTCCCCTGCCACACATCCTGGTGACTGCAGCAGTTAGTCAGACATAATACGCTTGTCCTCCACTGTGGTCACTCTTGAGTGTTGTCATACATATGTCTACAGAAGCATGATAGTGCATCTTTCTGATGTCATCCAGACACTTCCTGTACAGTCTTGGTCTGTTGCCCTCTAAAGATAATGATCTTTGGCAGATACACATCCTTAGGATGTATCAAAGCAGCTGGAGCTTCCTCCTCACATCTGTGTCAACTGGCAGCCTTGTTCATACTTTTCCTCTTCGTATCCCACCCAGATTTCATTTCTGATGATTTCTATATCTCTGAACACCACTTTCAGCTGACTTTCAATTTTTCTCCTCAAAATCTGTTTACCCAAGGTAAAGCAACTCTGTGTATAGGTAGTGTGTCTAAAAACAACCTCATAAAGCTACAATAACTCATGTCTTTCTGGAATAAGTAAAGTACCTGAAAACCAAGACAATTTCCGAATATTTGATCCACCTGTAACAGTACGTTGGTATTGAATTCAGAGAAGCAGTATCACGTATGTACTCTGACTCTTTCATGAAAAATCATGAGGACTTTATGCAGATGGCTGACAAGTAAGGTCATCTGGAAATTCAGGGAGATTCTGGCTGTGAGTTACCACATTCATTAATCACTTATTGATAAGGCAAAAAGTCAACAAGTGAATCAGCTCAGGTCAACCTCCTGTTCTCATTCCAAGCCAGCTTTGCATGAAAAATGGTTTTGAAAGTCACAACCCACTAGCTTCAGTCCTAAAGCAATTTGCTTACTCTGACTTACTCCATATTTAAATTCACTTATAAGAAGTTATCTTAAGATGTCCCCACCACTGTCTAGTGTAACACTGGAGACCTAGAATTTCATTCTCAGTCTGAACCCAGAAATAAACATATGGATATTTGCTTCACTGCCATTGTGCTTTTTCTACACATTAAAAGCTGATAATGATACATTTCACAATAAAATACTGCAAATTGAATGAACAAAAATGCCACACATTTGAATGTTTTCTTACCACCATCATCATACCCGCAATGCCAGTTTAAAGATTTGAACATCCTAAAAATCACCAGGTCTTTTTTTAAAAGAGAGAGAATTTGTTTAATTCAATGAAAGTTTTGTTCTGGATTCTTTAGGAATGTGTAGGAACAAAAATTATTTGAAACCTTTGAAAGGTAATAACTGCTCAAAATTAAATTTCAATGGATAGAAAATTGAAAATATGTTATTTTGAGGACTGTTTCTCCAAGGACTGCATCTCCTAGTCTTTTCTGAACAGAAAACCAAGATAAAAGTTCTGTGGATGTTGTTATTCTCAAAAAAAAAAAAAAAAAAAAAATTGGCTCTATTTTTAATGATTTCTTTAAAGCATTAATTTTCTCCTTGGCAGTAACTTAATCTATCCATTCTCAGAAAATGTTATGAAATACTCCCCTGCTAATGTATCTGAAAAGCTTTTCTAGATTTATTTTGGTCAAAAAGAATTTTCCACATAATTTAGTTTGGGAGTCCCAAGCTGAAGTCTGCAAAATATTCAATTTCCTTCTCATTTGTTCACTCTCTTCCTTTTCTGTGGGAGCACGAGTACAAACGCATTTCAGAGTTGTCTTTGTATGACAATGAAACACTTAATTTAAAAGAGCATTAATGGGCGTTGTCTCTTATCTGAAACACCTTTCCTTCTTGTAACATGCACAAACAAAAGCACCAATAAAATCAGCTCAGAAGGAAAAGATTTGCATGTCATTACCAGGTAGATTCATCGGCAGACATATGAGAGATTTATTTCGATGAGGATGCCCTTCACTTGTATTTGCCAGCAGGCACATCCAGTCTGCTTGGCACCCAGATGTAGTCCACATTTTACCACCATTTATGACATATTCATCACCTTTTCTCACGGCTGTTGTCTTGATACCTATTCAAAGCAAAGGAAATGAAGAGTTAATCTTGTGAAAGAAGAATAAGCTGGTTTCTGTGTGACTGGCCAAGTGATTCTCTTGCTCTCAGACAACCAATATTCACTCCTGACTTCACTGCCATCTAGGCTGCAAAAGGCAGGCCCACGTGGATGAGTCTCCTTGAAGGTGTCCCAGGGAAAGCAGACCACTTCTCTCACCCTCTGTTAGTTGGAATCTTCATCCCAGGGGATAAAAGCAGAAAGCTTTCCATAACTAAATTCAGTTACAGAAAACTCAGGACAGAAATATTTTAGGCTGGGATGATCTATTACACGTCTGTCACTGTGTATATTAGTCACTGAGAAGGCCATTAATTTCAGAGTCCCAACTTAAACAAACATAAGCTCCAATATCTGTGTATGCCTAAGGATATATACACACACACGCACTTCCTGTGTGTTCTAGGTCAGAATGGCGTAATAAATTCAAAGTTAGTAGGTCTTTAAAAGGTGAAGTTGAAACGTTAAGACCACCTGTACAACAAGGAGTTCTAAACACCTGCTACCCTATGATGTAGAAAAAACATCATTTTCACTTATGAGCACTCACATCAATGCAAGCAGCCCCAAATGCAACAGCAAGAGCGAATCATTAGTTACTGGTTAAGCTCCAGCAGAATTTCCAAAGAGCTATCTTCCCTGAACTCGAATTTCTTCCACTGAAATCCCAACCAAAGAAGCTCTGCAACAGATATCCAGCTGCAAGTTGCTGATTGTAAAAAAAAGAACCCAAGTACTTTCCTAATAGCACTTGTATTATGAGACTATAAAGTGCATAAGAGGCTATATAGTGAGGTAGGCAGTAAATGTGGAGTGTAAAAGTCAGGCAAAAAGCATAATGAGCAGCCACATTTAAGTCAGTTGGTGACTTTGATGCACACCCACCCTGATCTGCACATGAACCTTCTTTCCAAATGTCCTAACCTCAAAACAAGTTGATAACAGGCACCTACTCTTCATTTACAGGATCAAACTAATGACTACCTGGAGCTATAGTCTGCATGACTGAAAAGATTTGTTAATGTAAAAATAGGGAAAAAAAAGCAGCTGAAAATTGTGTAATGACGTAAGACAAGGAACTTGTGGATATAGCTGTGGATAAATAAACTAGCTGAAGTGTAACATTGAACAGCAAGAGATAGTACTACTGTGGATAAAAACAGCAGCAATCTATGCCAAATCTGCCCAAAGGACATATCGTAGATTCTGAATAATAACAAAGGCCAACAAAGTGAAGGAATCCACTGATCACAGTAATATGTGAACAGATATTTGACAATCATACAGGGAGACTGAACAACATGTGAAGGATGCAAAAGAGCTGTGACGAGACATGGTACAAGTAGCGTAAAAAGGATGGGAAAATACACAGTGATTTACATCACACAACCCTTTGTTATGGAACAACTACTAAGAAGATTAGATTGAAGTTGCCTGGAAGGTCTGCAAAGGAACACTGAGGACTATAATGCTATCACAGATATAAACAGTATTTGCAAGACTGACTTTCCAAATACAGATTAAAAAAGAAATGCCTTACTAATAGGAACATACAAGTAGTCTCAAGTGTGACAGCCAACAGTTTGTCTCAAGTACTTGAAAAGTGACTGTTTAAAATCAACTTATGAAGAATGTAGATTTTCATTACAATATTATCAAGCCAATAAGTAGATTTAACACTTAATCTACAGCACAATTTGAAAACCTGCTTAACAATTTACTAGAGTTAAGAGGATCTGAGAGATATGGCTGTAAGATCCTTTGGCATTTTTCACTGTAATTATTCTCCCCAGTAAAGCACGGCTACGGGAAAAGGCTACTTCAGTCACTAAGTTTTGGCATGTCTACATCACTGACCCTATGGTGTTTATATTTCAACAGCCTATAGAATCAGAGAATCATCAAGGTTGGAAAAGACCTACCAGATCATCCAATCCAATTGCCTACCTACTACCAATAGCTCCCACTAAACCATGTCCCTCAGTACAACATTTAAACATGTGGAACAGCTTGTGCCAAATAAATAACCAGGGCAATTTATTTCACCGTTCAAATCACAGCAAGAGACTTAAGCTTTCTTTTCCAGGGTGCTCTTGACTCAAGTCAAGGCAAGGTTGTCTTCAACTCTGAAAGTCAATCTTATGATCATAGATAACCATTTAAGTAATAAATTAAGAGCACACATGTAGAATTTTCATCATCAGCACAGGAAAAAGTTTTTTTTTGTTGTTGGTTTTTTTTTTGTTTGTTTGTTTTCTAAAGTAAAAAATCAGGACTAAAGCGGAAATGAGGGTAAGGAACTTGGCAATATGAAATAACATAAGGTTGCATTAATAAAGTGTGACATGCAGGGAGGATACTATGGAGCTTCTCTTTGGACATCAGTCTTTGATTGAAACTGACTGCATGTTTCCAGTGATGACCTTTAGAAGAAGAGCAGGAATACATCTCCGAAATGTATTGGTGAGACAAACCTGGGAGACATCACTAACAGATAACTCAGGTGTTACCCAGGAAAAAAAAAAGGATGATTCTGAGTTTTCCAAAGTCAACATGGCAAGTAGGTGCAACTAATAAGAATTACTGCTGTTGTCTTCCAATATTTCAGTGGAAAATTAGTAAAGATAATGATCACCACAGTTAACACAAATCACAAGCCAAAAAATTACTAGTGGTACTCATGACTAAGTGACCCATTTAGTTACCCTTTAAGAACACCATAGGGTAGTTTCCAGATTTATTTCAAGGATAAAAATCTTTAGTGGCAGGTGAAAAAATATCACTTGTCATCCTGCAGTCTTTTTAACTGTGACACTGACAACCTGGTTTCATATGATAAGCCTGAGCATACTTCAAATATTTCTTTAATTTCATTAATCCAACTGTACCAATTTAAATCATAAGCAACACGCAACTGAAAAAGTATTTGTTTTTTGTTGTCTGGAAGACTACATCCAGAAATTACAACCATATTTGGAAAGTCTTGATAATCAGGTAATTTAACTACAGAAGCATTAGCTAAATTAAGTGATGTGTTTCCTACAAGAGAGAAATATAAATTTCAAACTATTTTACAAAAAACAAACCTATAAATTTAAGGATTTTTCTTATTAACAATGTTAATTATCTAGAAGGGAAGACAGCTCTGGATCATGCAAGGAGATTCATAGCCCCTTCATTTAACTTCCTCCATGTAATGCTGTAACACAATAGAAAACACAGCAATGACACCATAGTAGCAAAGTCATAGGTTGCAGCAAGTAAGAACATGCTCAAATACGACAGTCATGGACACAGAAACAAAGAAATTTATTTACCTTCAGAAGGCCCCAGGTACACAGGGATCTCCAACAAGATACCCTTGCCTCCACTGCCAACTCTTAAATGAGATCTGAGAAGGGGAGGATCCTGGCTGCACCCCTTCCTGTCACTCAGAAGCATTGCTTGCACCTGAGCTCCCCTGGCCCCTTCCCACCAATCACTGGTTCAAGCCCTGACTTAGCATTTCTTAGCATTTCTGCTACGCCCCATTAACTCCCTTTGGAAAAGGCACTTGTTGCACCTCTTTGCTGTAATACTTAATAATCAGTTATCTGTCTTGAAAAAACAGTGTGATCTGGAATGAGCAGATGGTCATAGGCATTGGTTTTGCTAACCAAAAACTTCTGTTAAATTTGTTGATTTTTGTAGAAGTAGTAATCTCTATAATTTGTAAGAGTACAGTATGTTCAACTTAGCCATTCAAAATAGCAAGATGTATACAGTGGTTTCTTGTCATTCTCTTTTCCTTTAAGCACACATTCCACAATCAGGTGAGACATCTCCTACTATAAAATCTGCTGTAATTTAATTATCTACTGTCTCAGGCACTTCAGAATGGTAGGTTGACTTGTTGATATTTTAAACATATTCTTGTACTCAAACAAGAAATACAGTTTCATGCAAAGTAACTAAATCACAAAGCTCATACATTTGATATGGCAAATTCTTCATTATTCCTAAATAAAATGACTACCTATTCAGAGACAGAAATGACTGGATGGGGTGAGGTAAGAATGAGGTAGAGGAACTTATTGCAAAAGTGTGATGCCATCAGTTTCAGAAGGGACTAGCTCTGCAATCTGTCCACATTCAATGGGGAGGTCTGTATTAAGGAAGTGCAAGCCTTGTCCATTTGAACAGGGCAAAACTGTATCACATACTCCTGTAGGTTTGCACAACTAATGGTGACAGTGCAACTGGAGTACACCAATCGGGAGCTTGGACAGAACAGGCCAGACAGCAGAAGGACAAAAACACTAGAGAAATCCAGGGTCAGCCTAACAGCTGAATATTGACCTGTTCTGCTCAGCCTACATCTATTTATTCACTGACAAACACATTCAATTTATTTGCTTTTGAATGAATCAGATGTTTGTGGGGATGCCAACACAAAAAGGACATGGAGCTGTTGGAGAGGGTCCAGAGGAGGGCCACAAAGATGATCAGAGGGCTGGAGCACCTCTCCTACGAGGACAAACTGAGAGTTAGGGTTCATCAGCCTAGAGAATAGAAGGCTTCAGGGGAACCTTGTAACAGCCTCCCAGTACCTGAAGGGGGACCATAGGAAAGCTGGGGAAGGACTTTTTATAAGGGCATGTAGCAACAGAACAAGGGGAAATGGCTTTAAACTGGAAGAGGGTAGATTCAGACTAGATATGAGGAAGAAATTCATTACTGTGAGGGTGGTGAGACACTGGATCAGCTTGCCCAGTAAGGTGGTGGATGCCCCCTCCCTAGAAGCATTCAGGGCCAGACTGGATGGGACTTTGAGCAACCTGGTCTAGAGGGAGGTGTCCCTGCCTATAGCAGGGGGTTGGAATTAGATGATCTTAAACGTCCCTTCCAACCCAAACCATTTTACAGTTCTTTGATTCTATGTATTACTGCTCCTAGAATATTACTTTTTACTTTTTTCACTATTCCAAAATTTCTTTTGTATTTCTTATAAATGCTGACAATAAGGGCTGGCATCAGTGAAGCCAGATTCCTTCCCCTGAAATACCAAGCGGTCTGAAATTGGTAGTTTGCTAGGTTAACTTACTTGCAACATCTGATCCAGCTCCAGGTTCACTGATTCCCAAACATGCCACAAGATCTCCAGATATAGTTGGTGTGAGGAACTGTTTTTTCAACTCATCAGAACCAAATCTGCAACATAATAAAAAGTCGGGATATTAAAAGCTTTTCGAGGTAAACTTTATTTACAGGCTACTCACAAATTTTCTTTTACTCAGTGATCAATTTTTCTGTGACTAGGTAAAATCTTTCCTGAAGTAAAAAAGAGAAGGGACTTTGTGCAAAGCTATGAATCAATCTTCACTGGAAGTGCAGCCACAACCATTTTAAACAAGGCTTATACAAACATCTTACTTTGAAGGAAATTTGTGGTTCTAATGCTCCAAATCTTATCTTTATGATTGCTGCATTGAGAGCTATCAAACATAAAGAAATGTTGGCTCCTCTCTCTGCATACCTTCTGGTTTCTGTACCATCTCTTTGCTAGGTTTTAGTAGTGACTAAAAAGTTATGCTTCTTGTCAAAACAGTGACCAAGACAGCAGCTAAATCTGCCAGCTGATGAAAAAGAAACAATATGTGCATGTGATAAAACCTTTCCCCTCAGGAACCTAATCTTAGCTTCCTAGGAACCTAATCTCACAAAATACCTAAACTCAGTGCTCTGGGCTACCAGCTGCCTGCCCTGTACACCCACACGAGGAGGACCAAAACCTCTTTTTGTGACACCACGAGCTTTAGTAGAGCAGGGTTGCTACTTCTTCAACAAGATGGTAGAAGAACCAAAGGCACACTTGGGGACAGAAGGGAGCTGCTGAGTCCCAGTCCCTGGGAGAAATTAAGAAGCACTCTTGGACAGGGAGGAGGAAAAACAAGGATGAACAGTCTGCAGAAAGACAGTTGTGTTGCATCCAGTAGTGAAGCAATGCCTGTCTCTCCTTTGTCCTTTCCCCTTCAAAAGGCAGAAAGGCTGCTGAGGGTCAACCAGCTCTCCCCAGAAATGTCCCTCTTCCCCTGTAGGATGTCGGCAAAGGAGCTTGAGGGCTCTTGTGTAACAGTGCCTTTTTTATTAAGACTCCAAGAAACAGTGACTCCTTCTCCTTCACTGAAGGAGATTTTTTTTTTTCCTAAATTTAGCTGCTTTTACCCATTCAAAATGTGGTTTCATGGTTGATTTTTTTCTTAACCAACTTTCAAGTTTGGCCTTGGAGCCTGAATGGTTAGCTCACACTCTTGTTCTTAAACCTCTCCTGTCCCAAAAACAGAAGTCCTTGGATTGTGAGACCTCTCCTCTGTGAGCAGAAATCCGTAACAGCCAGGAAATAGATGTTTTACAATTAGTGATAATGTGCCCTCCTAGCTAAGAGGCTTCTCAGGTCAGTGTTTCAACTGATCTTTGGCTTGCCAGCTGCCTAAGCAAGCTGCAGCTAGCTGGGCTCTTCTACAATACTGGCACCATACTTCCAAGGCTGACCCTTTCTCTCTGCTTTCTGCCACAAAGCAGTCAGAGACCACAAGAAGCCAGAGACCAGAGTGGGAGCTGGCAGACACTCTCCCTTTGTGCACGCAAGGAGCTCAGCTCCTAGTGCTGTCCTGGCCCATAACAATCACAGCTGCAGTCCCAAATAAATACAAGAAGTAAGCTTGCAGTGTTCAATCCCCTGGTCTGTTATGCAGTGTAGTTGTTTTTTCCATAAAACATGATTGTGTGTGGCCAACTGAGAGCACTCTTTAAACAAAACAAAAACCAAACCAAAAACAACATAAAAAATTAGATTATAAGACGAACTGGCAGCACTGCTTATTAGGGTGTTCTGGCAATGCTTACTGATGCTTAAAACTTTGCCAACCTTTAGTTATTTGAATAGAGGATTTCCATGGCAAGAACTTTCCTCAGAAAGAAAATGTTTGGGATTTGACAGCTTTGTTTGCTTGTTTTAAATTCCAGAAAAAAGTTCAGCTCTTCCCAAAAATGAGGCTGGAGAAGTTATTTTGTAATTAAAAAAGTAGTCTGCCAGTGTTACCTTCAGAAGATCATGCTCTGCAGGAAGGATGTGCAGCCCAGCAAATGGCCAGCGATTGTGCTAGAAGTATATTGCTTCTGTTAAATTCTACCCACCTTAAATACATCCTGGAAAGGTATCAGGTTTGCATAAATGCAGTGTTCACTTCTTTCCAGTTTAACAGCTCCAGCATGAGAAAACTATGCAACGAGACTTGCTCTGACTCAAGACAGGCCAGATTATGTCTGCTTTCTGGGCTGAGATCATACCCTCAAGCATAGGGTCCCACATCATTAACTATGAAGCATTAACATCCATCTCAAAGTCATTTTTATGTAGGTGTGTACCTATAGATACACACACAGAGTCCATGGGCAATTAACTAGAGCTCCTTACTGACGTTGGGTAATCCAGAAGTTCCACATGTGAAATTCTAATACATTAAGAACTACATGAAAATAGTCCACACTTTGTGAGTAATATTAGTTGAATGTCATGAATATAGACACAAAAATGACAGTGATAAACAACCTTATAAATGGTGGGTAAAAGGTGAAAGAATTATGATGAAATACAGATGTTAGAATGTATTCTTGATCCACCCAGTTTTGTTTATGTGCTCTGCAAATTAGAAAATGGAAGCCAGTTTTGTTAATCTCAAATATATAAAAAATACTGTTTCTGACAGGTTTGATTGCTATATTGAATGAAAATATATCTATTGTACATCACTGTTCTGACTTAATTGGGTCGATAATCACCTTGTTAGAGCTGCAGTTCTCATTTGCTTTTGTTTCTTATTCTTCCTAGAAAAAAATGCTAAGCTGAATTGAATTAATTAATTAAGCATAGGAGGTTTTGAGTAGAACTGACATTGTTTGATTCATGATTAAGTGTAAACTGAAATTTTGAATATGAACAACTTGCAGGCAGCTCTAGCACAGCTCTCAGCATTTGATCAACTGAAGCTTTCTTGCTGGAGCTTAAACATTTGAGAAATATAGCCTACTCCAAATTCTCACATGGGCCTCTGGACCTCTTGAAAGGGAATATAATACTCCCCCTGAATGCAAGAGATTTTCTAACCAGTCATTTCAAGAACAGTTGTGAGAGACAACATTGATCCTGATGCACATTCACATATTCAACAGGGCTGAAAGTAGGCATTAATGGTGCAGCAACTTCAAAAGAATTATTCAACATCAAAGCAAAATAAAGCAAAAAAAGCTTTCAGGTGATCTATGCATTATTCTGTATTATGTCAAAGATGACACAGGAATTCACTCGTGGACTTTCCAGGAACAGAAAGATTTCCTTCACCCAAAGAAGGTCACTCTGACCTATGATCACTTAATAGCAACAGGTGAATTTCTTCCAGTTCCCTCTCTATTCTGTTCTCATACTCTATTAAGTTCTCATACAACTATTAAGAATACATTTGCCACATGCCATGCTTTTGCATGATTTCTGTGTATCCTGCACAGGCATCCTACCATCTAAGTCTAGTCCCAGCTCAGCAGTATTCCTTGGGTCCTCAATGTACATGGAAAGAAGCAAGAGAAGATGAAAGGCAATAAATTTTCCTTACAGGCAGAGAAAGTAATGCATGGGGAACAGCATCAAGCTCCCTCAAGCAGTGGGAAAGCCTCCTTAGGATCAGCAATTTGGCTTTCAAAGGCTTTAAAAGAATCCATACTGCAATCAGCTTTCTTTCTGTAAGTCCTTATTTCAGTTGAGATAAGAAGACATGCAAGTTTAAAAACACCCACGTTTAGAAAATTTATTTACTTATCGTAAAAGACAGCAAAAGGAAAAAAAAATAAGAAAAATATGCTCTGGCTCCCAGTTTTTATCAAGCCTTTAAGCTTGAATTATTTGAAGACTATATGAAATAAATTGCTCAGCGTGAGCTGCAGAGACATTCTGAAAAGAAAACAGATGGGAAACCCAGGAGCCCCTTCTGACTATTCCAAGGGTTCTGGTAAAGAATGACTACGTGAATCTTCTATTTATTTAGGAATGCACTGAACTACTTATTTAGTTTTGCACTGAAGTGCAGACATTGTGAAAGAGGAGTCAAATTAAAGATTACCTTCTTCAGAGAATGCAGTTTTTAGCATCACTGGTGTCCTGCTGCTCCCCCCCACCAGATAGGCTGCAGAATGGCCAGCTGTCACCATAGCCTGCAGCACTCTCAGAGATAAGGACAGCAGTGTGACTGCTTCCAGAGAGGATAGTTAGGAAGCAGCTGCTTGGCTTCACACTGCCCCAGAGTACCCATATCACTGTGGTCGTGGAAGCTCTTCCACCATGTCTGCACCCAGATGTGGACAACCTCTAACTTTCCACAGGAGTTACCAGCACAGGCTGCTCTACCCAGTGTGGGCACACTGCTTCTGGTCTGTGCCAGCTCCAGGCTTGGGAGGAATTGGCTTACAGCTCCTGCACCCAGAAGGGCACAAAGGAGACTTGGAAAAATAGGACAATGAGCACTGGTGGTAGAAATATTTTAGATCTCAGAAGTCAGGCTTCTCAGATAACTTTTCTGTTTCTCCTCACTTACTCTGCAGCAGTCTCTGTGATGGCTCAGGACAAGCCCAGCATGCAAACAAATTCAGTGCCAAATGACATGGACTACACAGGGTTGCTGAAGGAGCACAAAACCGAGTTTCTCCTATGCTGAGCTTGTGGGCAAGCCATGCAGCTGTCAGATCACCTCTTCCCATTTTCACCATTTCTCCAGATGATTCAGCAGATAATCCAGCATTCCAGAACCACTATTCTTACTGTCAGCTGTAACTTATTTCCCTTACAGCAAACAGGAACAGAGACAGTAACATCTTCGTGCTTTTGACACTAATTCTCAGCACAGAGAAAGAATCTGCAATGCGTAAGTCAATGAAATAGAAAAGCAGCCTTCCCACTGAAAAATCCTCACTATCCTTACTGTCTTCCTATAAAGTTTAGTGTCTGTTGATGAGATAAAAGAGCTTTATGCTGATGTGGTTATGGATGTGTCACATTATAGGTTTTTTTACAAGCCCAGGAAACAGCATTTCATTCACTGCTTCAGCTGAAAGCTGCTTCCTCCGCTCTGCTTGTAAGCATGAAAGCAAGGCACTTTATCCAGAATGAATTTGAAAGATCTGACAGAGAGTTATGTTCAGAACCAGACACATCACAGGCCAGGTCACTGTTGACAGAACATTATGTATTTTGTTCTCAAATTTAGAAATGCTACTGCTTCACTTAGAGGAATCTGAAAATAACAGAGCAGTCAGTCTGGGCTTCTTTCAGTAAAGCACAGTTATTTTCTTCAGTAATTGTCTGCACAATAGAAGTGCACATAATTCAAAATCTGCAGGGTTGCTTCCAAGTATGATCATGCATATAGTCTTCTGAAGGTTGTCAGTAAAAAAAAACAACAAAGAAGTGAAAGGTGGAAAGACCATGAACAGGCAAGCAGGTATGAGTAACATTTTCAAAACCTGCTTAACGAAACCCAAATTTGGGAAAGTCAACAAATGGCTTTCAGTCTTCTTTTAAATTATTTTTCAGTGTATGATGTTTGATTTCTGTATTAGCTTACTTTGTGCATCATCGGTGCATCATCTATAACAAAACTTAGCTAAAAAATTCAAATTCAAAAATTCCAAGTTCACTTTCTGCGAACATGGGCAATGCGTCCTGGGCAACCTGATCTAAATGTGTATGTTTGGTGGCCCTGCTAGGCAGGGGGGTTGGAACTACATGATCCTTGAGGTCCCTTGCAACCCGGGTGATTCTGTGATTCTGTGATTCTGTGAACATCCTCTTTAGGATCTGACACAAATGTATGTAGTTTCATTGCTGTACCAGAACAGAGCAACATAAAGCCAAAAAAAACTGCAGAGGCAGAAAATTCTATCTTCTTTCACCTGCAGATTTTCCTAAAACTTCAAGAATAAAAGGCTATCAAGGAGGCAAGATCTTTTAAAATATCAGTGGTTTAGTGTTGTATTTTTTTTCCTCCACTGGACTATAAATAAGTCTGTTGCAACAGACATAATGACCTCCACACTTTCAGCAAGATTTTGGTGCATTACACAAAGGAGAACAGAATTTCTAAAAAGATATTCTATGGTTAAGATCTCCAAAGTCACACATAGCTAGTAGAAGAATAGATGGATGGATGGATGGGTGGATGACTGGGAAGAGAGTCCAAATTCCAGTTGGATTTAGAAATATTTTCTCTAATAGAATGAACAAACAAAACTAACCAACACTGAAAAGCTTTTCTGTGCAAGTACTCTCTTGTATATCTGTTTAGTAATGAAAAAAATCTGGCTTCATAATCATTATTTGAAGTTAATTCCCACAACCACCACCTTCCAGAGCTTTTAGATGAACTCATATTCCAGGGGCAAACTGCTGGAGCAGTTTGTCATGTGTCACTTCCCTCTAGTTTTGCAGACTGTTGTTTTGAGGCAGAATGTCTGTGAAGGTCAAGATGGAGAAGCAGGCAACTGCTTCTTACTGAGGGAAGGAAAAAAAAGACTGTAGGAGCTTGAGTGAAATAAAGTGATAAAAGATGAACACTGACATGAGCTCATGAAAAAAAATATGATGAGTAATTGACTTGAATGGGAGTGTTCAGGCAGCATAATATGTGCTAACATTTTAGCAAGATTTACACCAATCCTGATAATTATTTCCAAAAAGTCAGAGCTGGCAAGGAACACCTTGAAATACTGGAAAAAAGCAAATAAATGTTAAAACACAATTAGACTCATTCTAATAATTACTACTAAATGTGACCTTAGTATGACTGCACTGGGATATGCAGGTAAGAAAAAAAAGCGTTAACATGGATTCTGGAATCATGACTGATTCTAGTACCAAGGTTCTGTGTTTGGAAACAGATAACTTACTATTAAACAAGGCCTACCTTTATTATATAATACTCTAAAATTAAAAATGTGCGTTCTCTCCCATAAATTAACCTGTGTGAAAGATAGGTAGAAAGAATGTCCATTTCTGAAGCCTTACTAATGAGCAACTACAACATAATCTGGGCAGTAATGTTTCCTCCTACTCTAAAACATGTGGTCGGATGTTTTTTAAGCTTAAACACACAACAGTTTGAGCTTTAGGTTAAACTAAACATTTTGAAAATTACCTTGTTAGCGCAGGAGTGGCCATACCAGCTTGCACCCCAATAGCCATAGGGATACCTCCACACCGGATACTTCCTAGCTCCTCTGCCACTGCAATGCTATAGGAGAAGTCCAAGCCCATTCCACCATATTCTGGGGGGAAAAAAAAATAAAATCTATCACACTGATGTTATATATTCCATGGAAAAAAAAAACATCTGTCACAATGATGTTCCACATAGGCATAAATGACAAGAAAAAAAATACTGCTACTGCAAAAACTTGCCAACTGCAATTTACTGCTAACTTGTAAGTATTTGATTTTATCAGACTTCCTTTCAGAAAAGTGATGTCACAGTTTTCTTTATAAACCCTGAACTTAAAATTCTGTATCAGGTCACCTCTGGATATGTTACATATCATCATTACTTTTACTGGAAAGGGCAGAAAACAGTAATTGCTGCTGAAAATGACATCAATAGGAAAAATCACTTTTTCTAATGAAGAAATTTCCACAAAGATGTATATTTGCTCTCATCCCCCATTGCACTCCAGTGGAACCATCTTTCTCCCACTGAGCAACCAAGTTAACAGAATGCAAGACCATGTGCAGATGTTGTCCACATGTGAAGTTGCCTCTGTAGCTCAAAACTCAATGTTAAACAGAAGCACAACACCAAACAGGCATACTTCATATCCTGGCACCTGGTCATTGCTGTCATTAAAGCATTTTTCATTAATACAAGGTTGATGGCCCAGGGCCCAGGGTGTTCTTCCTCCCTGCATTCCATTCTGCAAATTCAATTAAAGAGGATATTATTCTTCATCTCCTTCCCCGGCCCAGCACTGATAAGCCCCCACACAGAGTAACAGAACAGTTCTATGCTTCTATGACGGATGAAGTAATTTCTATCTGCACTAAATAGCTTTTATTCCAGAGGAAATACTGAGTGAAAGAGCTGACTGTTGGACGTCATTAGTTGACTGAGTAGTTCTGGTTGCATAGTTTTCCTCCTTTTTAATCTTTTTTACTCATTTGAAGGCCAGATATGAAAACGTCAAATAAACAGATATACAATTTCCCTCCCCAGTACTATCTGAACTCACTTCTCTTCTGATCTTAGACATTTTCAAAAAACACCATTAATTAAAATCAAAAACATCACAGTGCACACAAACAGTACTTTGTATGCTATCATCTATTTCCTAATCTTACAGAGAGTGCCTTTGTGTATCCTTTTCTACAGAGAGAAGGAAAATGGTAAGTGGAAAAGACTAAATGTGAAGTTTAATTTTCAGTCTGAATAGTCTGGATTATCAGCATTACATAATAGTTACCTTTCAAAATTTTTATCTGAAAATAAAGCAAGTTTCTTAAAAGCATAGGCAAAATTTAAATTCCTACTTGGAGCTTCTGCAGTGCAGTGAGAAGACAGTAACATGGGAACACCTTGAGCATGGTAGATAATCCAATACAATTCCTTCTTATAACTACAGGAGAACTTTTAACTATTTAGTACTCAGCATGGGGAAGCGAGGGGTTGGCTGGAAAACTTCCTGTTACGGAAGTACTTTCTTGATAAGGAAACATTCAGCAAACAGGAAAAGCACAGGAGTTGCAGTTGTGTTTGGCACTACACAAACACTTTCCACTTGATTTTGTTTTGTTTTTAATTTTCTAAAATAGTTCATTACTTTATTGCCAAACCACAGTTGTTACTGATTTTGTCTTTTGTTTCACCTAGAAAGCATTTATATTCCTTTCTGCAACGTGCTTACAGAAATCAAACCCTTTGTTCCATGATTAACACAGAGCAAGTTCACTAAAGGGATGTTACATACACAGCAAACCCCAAAAAGAACTGTTTTATGCAAATGTGCACCTTACACACATCCCTTCTTTGTACATTAACTCATAATATATTACCACATAGCAGACTTACAATGTCCTCATTTAAGAGTAGGTATTAAATAGCACATTTCAAAAATAAAATGCTGCAAAAGAACAGTTCTCAAAGTGGTGATATTCGATGAATTTCCTTCTTGACAGAAGAAACAGCACAAAGACTTAGAAGCTGAGAATCTGAGGGGGAAGCCCTAATAAAGAATCACAGAATGGCTTGGGTTGGAAGGGACCAAAATGATCATCCAGTTCCAAACCACAAACCATGGGCAGGGCTGCCACCCCATCATAGATGATGACGCTCCAAAGACTTTTATTGTTGACATGGATAACATAGGAGACAACCAGAGAAGAAGACAGGCACGTAGGTTGAAGGTAACACCTAAGTGTATCAATTCTGCTTCAGAAGGCAAGGACAAAAGCAACTCATGGAGAAATGTACATGCTTGATCATAGGGAGCAGTTCTTTTGAAGGTGTCTTGGGAGGAAGGTAGACATCCTCACCACCCAAGGTGCACCACCACACATCCACACCGCACTCACCATCGCTGAGGTAGCCCATGGCAGCCCACAGCTTCCTTCAGAACAAGCACTCACCTCACACCAAACAGAACAGCTAGATCTTCTCATTTCCACCTCCTGAAGAGATAATAGTGAACGTTGTGCAAAGTAAATGCTTAATTCTGAAAACAGAATTTTTTCTGTTGGTGGGCAGGAGGGTTATATTCATCAGTTCCATATGCAAAATGATACTTTCTACAGTTATCTATCCAGTGCTGCAATGCTACTAGGTTGATATAATTTTCGTTCAGAAAAGCAAATATTGTGCCCAATATCATTTTTGGTGAAAAATCCATGATTGCTTTACCAATCAAACCAATTCCAGTTTTGATTGGTTTTACTATATGTAAATATGACCACGTCAAACATTTCTAGGGTAAATATTTCATTTAAATTGAGCTGATTGATGTTGAGAGAACTGTTTGGCTATATTTCCATTTTTAATTTGCAAGAAATATTGAAATACCAAAGTGAAGCAAAATCATGCAGAAAGTCTAATGCACCAACATATATATAATTCAAAACAGGTAGAAAAATGCAACTCTGCTATATTCAAATTGTTGCTATTTTGCTGACAATAGCACAACTTCCAGCTGTTAAACAGATTCATACGCTATCTTGTCCACTGTTTGACTTCAGGTACTTACATAAGGAAATCGAATTATAAAACTCAAACTAAGCACATGTGAACATGCACATAAACAGAAGTTCTACACTGCAGTCCATGGGAGGGACCCGCGCTGGAACTGAGGAGACATGTAGGAGGGTAGGAGTGATAGACGGGTTGCTATGGACTGACTGCAGCCCCCACATCCACTGGCCCTGTGCTATTTAGAGCTGGGGGAGGAGATACAGGAGCTGGCAAAGGAGTGAAGTTTGAACTTTGGAAAAGAATGTGATGTTTTGTCTGTTTTGTCTATGTTTTTTTTCCCTTTGCTATACAAATCTATTTTAATTGTCAATTAATTAAATTTATTCTTCCTAATCCAAATCTGCTTCAACAATGATGGTAACTGGTGAGCAATCTCTCTGCCTTTATGTCAACAATGTGCTACACTGGTAAATACAGTAGACATTTTTCTCATCATGTGAAAATAGGAAAATCTATACAAAAAAAAGTGCAACAGCAGCGAAATGCACCACATGGGTGTGGGCCTTGCTAGAGGCATGAACATGTTTAAAGAGGGTCTATGATACTGCTTTAGAATGCCTGAGCAATGTATTTTAAACCAGTGGCTCATAGCAGTTGCACCAGTTACCCTCTGAGGACCAAAGACTCCCTCACAAACCTGTAAGCCAGCCTTATTTTCTAAATGGTCATGAACATGTAATACAACTAACTAGCAGTGTACCATCTGCACGTATCTTCAAACTCAAGATAGCAGAGCTCTCTAGAAATCACAACGAAAACCTAAACTGTATGTAAACATCATTACAGGGAAGGGAAGGCTAAGCTGCAAAATACTGACAGCATAAAAGAAAGAAGCACAGGGAACAGTAACTGTGTGAAAAGATGCAGCAGACGCAAAAGAAAAATGAAAATCCAAGATTGCGTGCTGCCCTAAGCACCAACTGATGCATCAGCTCCAACTCAGAGTAACTTGATGCAATCACTGCTCAAAGACCCCTCAGTCTTTTTTGCCTACTTTTAAGATGATTATTTTTCCCCTTCAGAACCAACCTAACACCAACTTCACAAACACCTACTTAAACACTCCTGCAGTTTCCTTTTTTTTTTCTTCTTTGAGGTTAAAAAGCACAGATCCCAGTTATTATATCTTTAAATACGTCAGTCCAACTGAATACCACAGCATGAAGAAAATAGGAAACAGTCACATGGAAAAATGAAATCAGGAGGTGTATTGGCTGAATATCACATCTCCTGAGCTTTGATGGCAAAGTCATGCAACTTCTCATGTGATTTCTATTTGAGCGAGCTCATAAACAAGGCATAGCCTTGGTTTCAAGAATATCAACTCTGCAGCCTCCCTGCTGCTTGCAGCCAGTCCACCAGCATGAGCTGCCAGAGCCCTTTCACACACTGAGCACACACATTACTTCAATCTGCTGCATTTGCACCCAGCTTGAGTTCATAGAATCATAGAATATCCCAAGTTGGAAAGAATCCAAAAGGATCATCCAGTCCAACTCTTGGCTCCACACAAGACCATCCGAAAATAAGATCAAACATCAGGTTAAGTTTGCAGATCGATAAGTTATGGATTTGAGTTTTATTCCCTTTGCTCTTCTCCAGTTTGAAGGTTGCCTCCCTCCTGCCAAGCAGGCACATGTCACACCAGCATTCTTCAGCAGGGCACGTGCCAACCCAGTCCTCCTCACAGCACCATGAGTTCTCCCAGGTCCTAGGGTTTGCTTTCAGGTAATCTGTTATCCCACATACAATGTGCTTGCCCTTCCAAGAGAGTAACTGCACAGGTCTCAGCCACCTTCTTTCAAATGCCTACATTCATCCTGAACTGAACATTAATTGATTAATATTAACATTACAAATAATCTCACTCAACAAGAGTAGTGCAGGTACAGCATCTTTATGCACTGCTGGTATGCTACACAGGACTCTTCCTCTCACAAAAAGAAGTATAACACTATCACATTACTGTGCATTGGAGCACATCTTCCTCCATGAGGATCTGAAGAAGTGTGAAAACATAAATAGATATTTTAAGGA